TCGTTCCCAACACCGGTCGGCGCTGGCCGAGTGCAAACCCCTCTGATTCTCATGAGTTACCTCCCGGCATTCGGAAGGATCGGCATCAGGCTTCGATAGTATTGGATGCATTTGGATGACATGTGGCATCGGCGCTGAACAATACCTTTGTTTCGCAATGGAATCACCAGAAGTGTTCACCATGTCAACTGTCTATGCAGACTTCGCTAATGACCCTGCCAAATCTAGGCGCCACTCAAGTTTAAAGTTACGCAAGGTCAGTTAATGAAATTGGCGTCGTTAACCTTCACGACCGTTGTATCACGTACCCAAGTGACATGGGCACCAATCTTACTCTGATAGAAATATGTGATTCCATTTTGATATGAAACACATTCGTCCCCTGCAGCGTTCAAATAACCGACAGCAATGCTAGCACGTTTTAGAACGTATCACTATCACTGTAGCAGAAGGCTGTCACAATTCAACGCCATCCACGGCCAAGCGGACGGGGGGGGGGGGGGGGGCGTGAACCGGCGGCTTAACCAGTGCGACCAATCAAAGACCAGACACCAGTGCAGCCCCAGCTGACCTGGTCGAACTCGCCGAAGGTGCGCAGCTCCTCGCAGGCCAGCTGCAGGTAGAGCGGGTCGCAGGCACCGCGCTTGGACGTAAGCGTGCGCAGCTGGTTGTTCCACGCCTTCTCCTCCAGTGTCTTGCTGTGGTGCTGCAGCATCTCGCGCACCAAGCCGGCGCGCTCGGAAAGGCTGAGTGTGCCTGCCGGGCGGACCCGTCAGCGGGTGGTCAGAGGGTGCTTACGGGTCCCAGGGTGGTCACAGGTCGGAGGCAGCCCAGAGGTCACAGGGTGCCTAACGGAATGTCTTCAGAGCCTGTGGCCTGGCACACCATGGATCGCGCACTTCAGGTTGTGTGTAAGGGAACGCGACCCACGCAACACACATGGCCGCGCACTCTTTATGAAACGCCAGCGACTGCAGTAGCGATATGAGCGTTTAGAAGTCATGGGGCCACCGGGATTCGAACGCCGCCCCCCCCCCCCCCCCCCCCCCTCCCCTGTGAGAACCCGGGTTCGAGCAGCAAACGGCAGATTGATTGCCTGGTTGTCCTCTGTCTCGCACACAAACAGTACTAGGTACGACATGTGGTGCAAACATGCAAACCTCTTCCGCTAAATGTTTTATGGTATAACTGTCATGTGCTATTAAAAACTACAGATTCGTTCCATAAGCCAAAACGATACGGTGCCTGTCCTTCAAACATTTTTATAGCAAAATATGGAATGAAGATGCACAAACAATATACCTAAATGCATATATTCCGCACAAGTAATGTACCCACGCCCGCCTCAACGTCGCACCACAATCTGCGCCATACAGCGCAGGTCACGCGAGACAGGAGCCGCTGCGTTCTGGCCGGGTTACAGGCCGGGCACCAGGCGCCCTGGCTCAGTTTCCCATTGACTTACGACCCGGTTTCCCATTGACTTGACTCTGCCCACTGAGGTGGCGTAATGGATAAAGATCAATAGGGAACGCCTTCAGTTCCAAACATGGACACAAGTAAAATCAATCCAACCCCATCAAGACATACAGCACGCAGGAATGGCACGCTGAAAAATTATTCGAATAAAAGCTTTGGCAAGTGATCTGTGGCTAACTACATCGTTATCAATCGAACAAAATCATCAATCACACATTCCATATAAGATCGAGACTTGCGTACTTCCCGGACATACGTGGCCGTCAACAGCGTACAGACCGCTGCTATGCGTTGCCATGTCAACACCGACGACTTCCTCGTAAACAAGCCCACCCACTTCGCCTCTCGGGCGAGGCGGCAATGTGCTTGGGTCGTGCCGTCATATGTAAGGAATGGGTTTACCCGAAGCAAGGGATGGGCTTCAGTTATTGATGAAGAACGGGGCCCAGGCTGCCTCCTTACCGAGGTTCACTGACGTCACCATGAGCTTGGAGTTGATGCGGCGATACAGGGCGCTGCCCTCGTCGGCGCTTATCAGGAGCGTCACATTCTGTCGACGGACAAACACGCGGCTGGTAAACGGCGGCGCGGGCTGACCTCAGGTGACCTTACTCGACTCCTTAGCAAAAAAATGGCGGCATAGTGACACTTCAAGTATTTGTGTTTCGCTTGCACGCAGCAGACGTCTTAAAAACTCACGTCACGTTCCAATACCATATCAAACAAACGTGCCAGTTTCATCAACATATCACCAGAATGACAATTATTCAAGAAGTTGACCAGTTTCGACCACGTAGAATCGTCCCTAAAAGTCAGATAGTGCACCTCCGGCACCTGATCGGACAGCGTATCTCGGGCACCTGATCGGGGTGAGTACCCCGGGCACCTGATCGGACAGCGTACCTCGGTCGCCTGATCGGACGGCATACCTCGGGCACCTGATCGGGGTGAGTACCCTGGGTACCTGATCGGAGGGGGTACCTCGGGCGCCTGATCAGAGTGCGTACCTCGGGCGCCTGATCAGAGTGCGTACCTCGGACGCCTGAACGAAGTGCGTACCTTGGGCATCTCAATAGGCAGCCAGTCGACGGCAGCCTCGCCCTCGGCCTGCCAGAGGGCGTCCAGTCCGTCCAGCACCAGCACCACGTGCTGGCGGCGGCCGCGCACGGCCAGCAGCTCGACCAGCTCGGCGGCCAGCTGGTGACGCGGCGCGGCCGAGAGCGGCTGGCGGGCCAGCAGCGCGCGCAGGTAGGCCAGCAGGCCGGCCGACGAGCCGCACTGCACACCCGCCGAGCAGAAGGCCGGCACCAGGAGGCGGCTCAGGTGGTCCGAGCACTCGGACAGCTGGCTGTACACGCGGCCCTGGGGACGTGCGCAGACCCAACACATCGACATCTGGCTGGATGAACGGCGGCCCGTGATAAGCCCACTATGAAACTGAGAGCCTGGTTACAGGAAGATGGTCGGGGGGGGGGGGGGGGGCTCCGACCTGGAGTGTGCCTGGGCGATTTAACTAGCAGAGACGCCAACACTAATCACGAAGTGCCTCCAATGGCTTGAGTTGGCTGGTTTCCAGCCCATACAGAAAACATGCCATCCCAAAACAGCACGATGACACGGCCAAACCCCGCACAGGGTCGCACGGTCCCGTCCGCCCGGCAGAGGCCAGCGCCCCATCTGAACGTCCGCCCGCCGCGCTCCGGCGCGTCGTCTCACCACGAAGCAGGTCTTGCCGCTGCCAGCTTTGCCGGCCACCAGGATGATACGGCCCTGACCCCGCTCCACCAGCTCCACGGTCGTGGCCAGCCGGCCCTGGCGTCCCACCAGCTTCTGGGCGAGGCCGAACTCGTGCTGCAGCGTGTACTCCTCGGTCACCAGGTCGCATGTCGTCGCCTGCCGGCGCAGCGAACGGTCGGCCCCACAGGTCGGCTGCGAGCGCTGGTGGGATCCAGCCGTCGCCACGCCACACAAACAGACGAAACGAAGAGCGTCTGCCGTGGCCGGCGGTGACCATCTGGGAGGCCGCACTGACCTCCAGGGGGTAGAGCGACTGCAACGTGTTCCACAGTGTCTTCATGATGTTCTCGCCAAACGTCTGCAGAGCGAGGGCGCCGTGCCTGCCGCCTCCCAGGCTGCCGAAGTTGGCGCTGTACTTGGTGATGGCGCAGCCGCGGGACTGAATCTCGGCCTGGAGGTGGGCCACGCGGCGGCGGCCCGCCGCCAGATCCGAGAACTGTTCCATGAAGTGGCCGGGGACTCCGCTGTCGCGAGAGGGCAGACGGAGCTTGCACAGGTGGTTAACAATGAAGCCAGGAGCGCGGTGCGTCGATTGCACACATGCCTAAGGTCACTAAAAACCCTCCATGACCGCTTACTGGCTCGATTTCAGGTTACTGGTGACCAGTTTCTACCGGTACTTCTCACTTCAGCACTGACCTGAGTACAGCCCCACCTCTGCGCTGAGGCCACAGCAGCGCCGACGCAAGTCACACACAGCTCAGAGAACAGCACACCCCTCATCCCCCCGCCCCACCTCGACCTAACCCGCACGAGGTGCACCGTCGCCCCGCGCGCGTCGCAACGCCGCCGACCTGAGGAAGCTGTCTTCGCGCTGGTAGAACACGGCCATCTGGCGGGCCCGCTCCGGCTCCCGCGTGGCGTACAGCATCTCCAACGCCGTGAGCGAGAGGTCGGCCGTCTGGGCGGACAGGAACTCCAGCAGGCGCGGCTCCGTCACGCGCCTCGTGTCGGCCACGCGGCCGGAGCGTGCGCCCAGCAGACCCACGAACAGCTGGCAGCGGTCGATCTCGGACAGACAGAGCTCCACCTGCCTGGGGGCGGCGGCGCGGCGGAGCGCGTCAGCCAGCAGGGCCGGCTGTCACTAGCGCGCTCCGACGGCCGGTCGCCGGTCCGCGGGGTGTGCCGCAATCGCGCCAGCGGCTGACGGCTGACGGCTCCGCACCGCACGGGGCGCCGCTCGGCATCGGCACACAACATCGACATCACCGGACCGACCTCCGCCGGCGCGTCGCCAGCAGCATCGGCGAGTCACGAACGGCATCGGCGAGCTACCAGCGGCATCGGCGAGCCACCAACGATATCGGCGAGTTACCAACGGCATCGGCGGAGTTACTAACAGTATCGCCGAGTCACCAACGACATCGGCGAGCCACCTACGGTATCGTCGAGTCACCAACAGCATCGGCGAGTTACTAGCGGCATCAGCGAGCCAGCCACAGCATCAGCGGCGACGCGCCCGCGTCTGGCGGCTGACCTGGCGGCGGCGGCGTCCTCGACGGTGATGCCCCAGCGCAGGTCCACCACCTGCAGGTCGAGGCGGAGGGCGCGCGCGCGGCTGCGCAGCTCGGGCATCACGTGGCGGATGATCAGGTCCCGCTCGCCGTGCATGTCCACGAACGTGGACGAGATGAAGACGCGCACGGTGCGCCACCTGTCGGCCAGGCGGGGCGCTGCAGCGAGGCGACCGGAGACGACGGGCAGCCGACACGGCGGCGTGACGCTCGCCGTGTTCATGCATGGTGACATGCGCCAACGGAGCCGTCTAGTTAATACAAGTCATCGTGTAAAGGCGGCGAGTTGGAGCTGAGTTCAGCCCACGAAAATATTAAGAATGCAAAAATTCATCTGAGGTGCAATGTATGTACTTTGATAAGCATCAGGTCAGTCTGGTAAACTCGTGGTAGCACGAAGAGGAACCCGCCGTGGTCTCAGAGTACCCACTGTGTTCGGCCGTACTCTCAGAGTGCCCGCCAAGCTTTGCGGAGCCCTCAGAACATCTAATGCACACGGCTGGCGCTCTAGAGCTGCCGCCGTGCTCAAGCGTGCTCCCAAAGCACCCGCCGTCCTCGATCTGGCCGACCCACCTGGCCACGCCGACGCCGCCCTCCGACGCTAGGATGGCCTCGCGCAGGTTGATGGCCGGCAGCCGGATGTCGCGGCGCAGGTTGTACTTGACGTCGATGGCGTCGACGGCCGCCAGCTGGCCGGTGATGCCGCGCTCGGCCACAAACCTGCCGGCCGGCGGCGGGCGGGGTCACGCAGCGCGACCGGCGTCAGGACACTAGGGAACCCGGGCTGCAGCGGGCGGCGCCGGCGCGGCGGCCACCAGGAGCCGCCGGCCGCCCAGAACACAGATCCTCGGAGCCATGGCAGCGCAGTGAGTCACTCTCTCATATGTGCTACAAAACAGCTAAAAACGGAGACATGGGAATGATGGTGAGAGTCGATCGTAAACAAGTCAAGTTGATCACACAGAGAGGGAAGCTGCACAGGGGTTCGGAGGAAGGCGAGAAGAGTGGCACTTGAAGCGAAAAGGGTCAATCACCCCAAAGCGCAACAGGTATCAAGGGATGAGCATTTCAGTGGACGGGCAAAGTGCAAGTGACAGGGACGGCAAATGGGGCCTGCAGAAAAGGCGCACGTTCACCAGCGGCCAGAGAATGCTGAGCAGGCGCACCCCACGGGCGAGAAAGAGGGAACACGTGGACGGCAACAGTCGCACCCGCCGCTGCGGCGGACTGACTCACCGCAGGATCTGGTCGCTGAAGCCGAAGAGCGAGATGTTGCGGGGGTCGTCCAGCAGATGGTTGTCCACGTGTCCGGTGTGCCTGGAGAGGCCATAACACCGGTCACACATCCCGCTCAGCCAGCCATGATGCTGGTCGCGCACCCCGCGCAGCTAGCCATGACACCGGTCACATCCCACTCAGCCACCCATGACGCTGGTCACACACCCCGCGCAGCCAGCCATGACAACGGTCACGCATCCCGCTCAGCCAGCCATGACGCTGGTCGCGCACCCCGCGCAGCTAGCCATGACACCGGTCACATCCCACTCAGCCACCCATGACGCTGGTCACACACCCCGCGCAGCCAGCCATGACAACGGTCACGCACCCCGCTCAGCCAGCCATGACGCTGGTCGCGCACCCCGCGCAGCTAGCCATGACACCGGTCACATCCCACTCAGCCACCCATGACGCTGGTCACACACCCCGCGCAGCCAGCCATGACAACGGTCACGCATCCCGCTCAGCCAGCCATGACGCTGGTCGCGCACCCAGCGCAGCTAGCCGTAACACCGGTCACACACCCCGCGCAGCCAGCCATGACGCTGGTCGCGCACCCAGCGCAGCTAGCCGTAACACCGGTCACACACCCCGCGCAGCCAGCCATGACGCTGGTCGCGCACCCAGCGCAGCTAGTCATGACACCGGTCACACATCCCGCGCAGCCAGCCATGACGCTGGTCGCGCACCCAGCGCAGCTAGCCGTAACACCGGTCACACACCCCGCGCAGCCAGCCATGACGCTGTTCGCGCACCCAGCGCGGCTAGCCATGACAACGGTCACACACCCTGCGCAGCTAGCCATGACACCGGTCACACACCCCGCGCAGCTGGCCATGACACCGGTCACACACCTCGCGCAGCTAGCCATGACACCGGTCACACACCCCGCGCAGCCAGCCAGCGCGCCAGCTCAACAGGTCCAACCATGCCTGCGAGCCACACTCGCCTTAAAGTGATGGTGTCTGGGGGCTGGACCCTCATCACTCGGCGAAGTTTTATCCCGCTGAATCTCCGCTCTTATTCAGTGCTATTTGTTACTCGTCACGCGCCGACCAATCGACGGGTCTTGAGCGGGACGATACTGGGCGGTGGAGCGTAGGCTTTGAAAGCCCTCCAGCTGGGCGCGCACGGACACACCCACACAGGCGTCGGTAGTGCGAGCAGACGGCACCAAAATGGCAACAGGTGACCCAGCCTTTCCGATGCGTGCGACAGTGACCGCGCCAATAGGCCGCCGAGCGGGGCCGGCCGATCGGGAACGTCATCCTACCGCCCCCCCCCCCCCCCCCCCCACGGCGCCCAGGCGCGCTCACGTGAGGTCGATCGAGATGAACTGCAGACCGGGGTTGACCAGCTGGCGGTACAGCTCCAGCGTGCGACTCAGCTGCCAGGTGCCGGCGCCAGAGCCCATCACCACCACGGTGTCGATCTGCGGCAGAGACGGCCGACAGCCGCGTCAGCCCAGCCGACAGCCGCGTCAGCCCAGCCGACAGCCACGTCAGCCCAGCCGACCGCCGCGTCAGCCCAGCCGACAGCCGCGTCAGCCCAGCCGACAGCCGCGTCAGCCCAGCCGACAGCCGCGTCAGCCCAGCCGACTGCCGCGTCAGCCCAGCCGACAGCCGCGTCAGCCCAGCCGACCGCCGCGTCAGCCACGCCGACCGCCGCGTCAGCCCAGCCGACCGCCGCGTCAGCCCAGCCGACAGCCGCGTCAGCCCAGCCGACAGCCGCGTCAGCCCAGCCGACAGCCACGTCAGCCCAGCCGACCGCCGCGTCAGCCCAGCCGGCAGCCGCGTTAGCCACGCCGACGGCCACGTCAGCCCAGCCGACGGCCACGCTAGCCACGCCGACGGCCACGTCAGCCCAGCCGACAGCCACGTCAGCCCGCCGACGCCCGCGTCAGCCCACCGAACGCCGAGTCAGCCCAGCCTCAGCGCGTCAGCCCAGCCGACAGCCGCGTCAGCCCAGCCGACAGCCGCGTCAGCCCAGCCGACAGCAGCCGTCAGCCGCGCCGACGGCCACGTCAGCCCAGCCGACGGCCACGTTAGCCACGCCGACGGCCACGTCAGCCCAGCCGACAGCCGCGTCAGCCCAGCCGACGGCCACGTCAGCCCAGCCGACAGCCGCGTCAGCCCAGCCGACTCCCAGCTGCCAAGGTGTGTTCTTACAGCCCGCCAAGCATATAACACAGTATCCTATAGCCAAAGTGGCATACTGATTAACTGTCAATCCCTTCATTGAGTCCGCAGAGCGATTAACGTGATAACGACGATCAGGTAGGTCTTCATAGAAGTAAGACGACCACGGGCATAAGGGGAGACAAGACGGGAGCAGTTCAAGGAATTATATCCCGGTGATGAAGCTGAAAGAGGACAATCAACGCTCATTAGTTCAACGACCAGCCAGTGCCAAGTTTTGCTTCGGCTTGCGACGAGGGCCAGGAGCTCCCGATGGTGGTCGTGCAGTGCATGTGCGTCCTAAAACTGATAAAAAGTGGAATCACCGGCCGCAAAGCTTTCGTCTTACCATGCCCCGAGACGCCTCGGGCCACCGCGATGCACGCGCACTCGATCGACCTGGTGTCTTACGTAATCCGAGAGGATGCGCGTGCGAATGTAGTCATGGAAACAGCGGGTTTCTCGGTGCGCCTCAGGACAGCAGCGTGACGGCCGCGTCGTCCAGGCTCGCCTCCGGGGAGCAGCACGGGCTGCTGACAGCCGGCCTGGCTCGATGTTGGGCCTCTTCGTGCGCGCGAGCCGCGCCGGGACGCCACCGGGCACCTGTCGCCGCGCGGCGCGGGCCCGCCGAAACCTCACACCGCGCGTCGCCCGTAAGCCGCAGCCACCGCCGGTAAGCCTGTTAGGCGGCCGGCGGACGGCCATCCAATTAGAGCCCGGCGGAGCGGCGGCGCCCCCGGCGGGCGGCCGACGGCGGCGGCAGTGACGGCGAGTGCGGGCTCGCCGGTCGTGTCCCCCGTCAGCCGCCGCCGGCGCGGCAGCTTCGGTATGCAAGGTACGTGGTCCGTGTCTGCGTCAGTGAACACGGGCTGAGCGCGCGCCGCGCCCAGCGGTCTGGTCCCACGCCGGAGCCGCGCGCCCGCGCTCGCGCGGCTCGACGAGGTGCGGTTCACAAGCACATGCAACCGCACCTTCATTTTACGATGACTGTGGTAGCGGATTCTAGCATGAAGGATATTGCAAACGGAATGTAGTTGTGGCAAAGATTCCAGCAGCATGCATCATTTTCTTGGCCACTTTTCACACATCAACAATTTGCGAATGCTGGCACCTACCTAAGTCACTGTTTGGTAAATTATGTCCATAAGTAATGGCATATCCCGCAAAAAAATCATGGGCCCACGCTACTGACGTCACCACCACGACGCAAGTAATCAAGAATCGCATCACAGATGAAAACGCTCTTATAGTCCCCCAAACACCCGGTACATCCCTCCTTTCGGTGGGCCCAAGTCCCTGTGCCAGTGGTGCCCACGTTCCTCTCCTTGCCGTACCCACACTTGTTGATCTGGGTGCGTCCCGACTCCTGCTCCGATGTGCCCACACCTCCACTTCAGAGGTGTCCGCGACCGTCCCCGGCGTCGCAGTGCCTGCATCGGACTGTCACCAGCCACAGTAGTTTGGTTTTAATGGCGCCGGTAGCGACGACGGGCGTCTTGGAAGGCGGCCGCGCCAGACGAGCTACCAATCAATCCGTGTCAGCAAATCACATCCTCAACGCGGGTTCTCCCCAAATTATATCCTCAACATGGGATCTCCCCACATCGAGTTAACGTTGTAAGCCTGTGGAATGTGGTATGGACATACCAGAAGCACCACGTGTAACAATTTTGTTACCGACAAAGCGTCGAACAAACGGAAAGAACTGCAAACGCTACACATCAGTATTCTCTTGACATATTCCAGCACATAATACACACGCTGTGCATATGGGACGGTAAAATATCCTCGCTCAAGACCAGGCAACAATATCTACCAAATATCATATCGTGTGCCAAATGTATCTTGTATCATATCAAATTGAAGGCCACCGAAAACTGATTGTTGTTGCCACTCTGTCCACAGCGTCTGACCGTTCCTTGACGGTGTCTGTCTGACGGCGCTGTCGCTGTTGCTGATGCTGTGGGCCTGCCCTGTCCACAGCGTCTGACCGTCTGCTGACGGTCTGCTGACGGCCCGTCTGTCTGACGGCGCTGTCGCTGCTGTTGATGCTGTGGGCCTGCCCTGTCCACAGCGTCTGACCGTCTGCTGACGGTCTGCTGACGGCCCGTCTGTCTGACGGCGCTGTCGCTGCTGTTGATGCTGTGGGCCTGCCCTGTCCACAGCGTCTGACCGTCTCCTGACGGTGTCCGTCTGTCTGACGGCGCTGTCGCTGCTGCTGATGCTGTGGGCGGGCGCGGTGGGTGCTTCTGAGCCCGGCGCCACCGCCGCGGCCGCGCCGGCCAGCGCCGGCGACCCGCGCCGCTCGCTTCTCGCAGCGCGGCGCCGCTACCCACCCTGCCACTTCAGCCCGCTCTGCACGTGCAGCAACGCCGGGCCCGACCTGGGCCTGGTGTTCTGCGAGCACGTGCGGCTGGTGGACGTGCCGGCCGCCATCAACACCACCAAGGTGTTCGCGCTGACGCTGAGCGACAACGGTCTGGGAGAGCTGAGCGCCGATCGCTTCTTCATGGCGCGTGAGTGCTCGGCCGTGCGCGCCCTCCTGCCACTCCCGCCGGCTGCACGCCGCGCGGTGTTCGTGCGACGTGAGCCACGGCAGCGTGCTCTTCCAGCGGCAGGTCTGCACCCCACACGCCCGTGGCGGCGAGTCGACGTATGAGTCCCGAATGGCGCCCGTTAAACGAGCACGGCTCGTGGCCCCTCAGGCAGGGCGCGGGTTGAACGTTACGCCGTGTTGTTGTGCTGTGTCGTAGACATGCGTTACGTCAGGGCTCACGGTCGCCCTGGTGCGCTGCAGGCCTGTGGCGCCTGGCCGTACAAGACAACGAGCTGCAGTCGGTGCCGGAGCGGGCGTTCAGCGGCTTGGAGCGCTCGCTGTGGCAGCTGGATCTCAGCGGCAACCGGTTGTCCCGGGTACCGCACCAGGCCCTCCGGCACCTGGCCAGCCTTCGACTGCTCGACCTCTCAGGTCAATCCCCCTCCTCCAGGGTATCGCAACAGGCCCTTCGGCAGCTGGCCAGCCTTCGACTGTTCGTACCAACGCCCAATGTACCTTAGTCAGCCCGTCTGTCGGTGTAGTCAGTCTGCGTAGTCAGTCTGTGTAGTCAGTTTTAGTCTTCTGCGGGCATCGGGCCATTTCAGATGCGTCTGTCTCCATGATTCGTCCCACTTTACGCGTTTCATTAGGTCATCTAAGCTGGGTTTGATTTTTTTTTCCAAAAATACGAGTTCTCAAAGCAGGTACTAAAACTAATTGCTATGGGAATGCTCAGGCTCTATCCATAAGCCTGCACTGGCTGCACTAATGCTACACAGCACACTGAGCGCTGTAAGCTATGTACCAATGGTATCAAGTTTTTTATACTTTTTTAACTCTGCAAAGTCTATTATGTCAAATTATATTAAAAGCATATTGCACCCACGGACGAAGAATGTGGCACGACAGGCATGGCGGTGGCCGTGCTTACTTCCACCGAAATGAGCTTAATTTAAAAAGTATGCTATTAAAAGACGTTTACCTGGCACGGGTTCAACACCACCCATGCCCAGATCTACCAATGATCAAACCCCGATTTTCTGTACATAGCGGCGTGATATTTTTGGCGCTTCATCACAATAACTAACAAACCCCAGAAGATCACAGCATCCACAACACCGGCTACCGTCTCACACACCGAATGTCACAAACATTGTGGTTGTGACTGCTGGCTCCCGCACCACCAGACATTGATCCCGACTTGGCAGGATCAAAGCATCGGCAATGTTCGACGAACGGGAGCCCCAATGGATCCCACAAACGCTAATAACTGCGGGCGGCGTCGGGATTCGCCGCCTGTGGTCCAAAATTGGGCCGATCAATACTTGGGTCGCGCTGTGCTGGCCACGTGACGCATAACGGTGGGCGTCGCCACGGCGGACTGCATACGGCTTCCGGCAGCGACGAGCGGGCCTACACGGCGCTTCAAACGCAAAGCCCAGTAAAATAGGCACAGATTGTAGGAAAACGAGGGGGCCAAATGGGCGTTTAGTTGCCCGGCGTCAGATCCCACAAGGATAACGAACTGGGCTTCGCGGTACCAATAATCGAAAAACACAACTTTTCTATATGTCACACGTAAGACGTTTTAACAAACTGACGACGACGCGGGCATACACTGGTTCAACAGACACCACCTTTCGGACAACGGCTAACGCTGATCAGCCTCTTCAGCGATCAGCCACCAGCGGCCATGAGACGAGTCTCATGACCGCCTCA